TCGCCCCAGCACAACAACTCTCGCATATGAGGCGCTGAATGCGAATGTGACGCGCGCAGAGGAGGCAATCTAGGCTTTTTCACATACCACGAGGGTTGGATCGGCTCCAGCTTTGAGAAGTGTGACGATGATGTCACGATTGTCGACGATTTTCTGTGAACGCTCGTCGATCACTCCATGGCTGGCGATTGCACAATGAAGGGCTGTTTGGCCTCTGCCATTTAGCTGGTTGATGCGCAATCCGCGTGTGGCACAGAGAATCTGCAAAACATGAACTCATGTTCGAGCAACTAGCAAATTTTCTGTTTATGATTGTTTGGCAAACAAACAGCTAACAATAAGTACAGGGCTCTACAAAATTTCGCGCTATCAGCTGAAAGAAGCAAAAGGATGAAACGAGTTTACTCGGTTGCCACTGTTCCGATTTTGAAAAATCCAATTCTGAACCCTTAGTTCGAATTTCGCGAATGGGTGCCTGGACTCGTGTTGTTCGCTGCTGAGAAATTCACCTCTGAGCTCTCGCCCAGTACCGTACTTGATAATGCTGATTGGTCCGCTAATAGAGGGTATATTACTGGGTGAGGGTTGACAACTGAATTTTCTAGCCACATTTGAAGAATATGACCTGCCACTTTTTCTTTCTAACCTTTCAATCACTCGAACCGAAATTAACTATTACCATATAAACAACAGAAATCTTACCTCAACAATATCTTTCATTCCTCTGGCAGCGGCATAATGTAGAGCTCCTTCTCTTTCCGGGCGGAGCGTTTGAACATTAGGATCTGCACCAACTTCCAGCAAGTATGCGACAACCTGAAGCATGGAATTTATCACGGCAGGAAAACATGATCGGGTGTGTTCAGGCAAGTTTAGGTATTTGAACTCGCGCGTTCGTGGCAGAGAAATGCAACTCTAAATACTCGCCCAATACCGTACTCGACAACGCTGGCGCAGAAAAGAATACGGTGTTGGGTGAGAGTTGATAATTGAATTTCCCAGCCACAACTGCACCATATGACCCCAGACACTTCCCTTCCAGAAAGTCAGGTATTCACACTTCCTGAACTGTCCCTCAAAAGTATAGAATTCATGTTACCTCCTTGAGCTGTTGTTGAACAGCTAAAAATAGCGGAGTCTCATTGTAGCGATTTGGGACATCAAACGGTCGCTGATCTTTGACATTGTCGAGTTTCAACTGTTGTTCAACGAGCGAATAGATTTTAGCAAGGTCGTGATGAGTGATCACGATGTGAAGAAGAGTGTCGCGATCGTCATCTTGATGGGTCAGAGTGCCAGGAGCGAACTG